CAAGCACGGCGGCTCGAGGATGGGGCAGGGCGGGCGGCGTGAACGCCCGCCCCTGGGAGCAGAGATGCTACCATGCCAGCCGGCCACTCTCGTCCTCCCTCCCCGCGCCCTCCCTCCACCCGCGCCTTGCTCCCGCGCCCTCCCCTCCCGACGTGCCCTTAAAATGGCGCCGGGGGGCCAGGTCGAGCCTGGGGACCAGCGCGATCTGGATTTTGATATGGAGGAAGAGGATGCTCGAACCTTTTTTGCGGATGTTGTTTCAGCCCCTTCGAATGCTAGTAGGCCTGTGGATGTTCTGCAGAGTGTGGCGGAGGCCCTTCGCCGCGTGGAGGGCGAACAGTCTCTAGCGCTGCCTTCGCACGATGATGGAGGGGCGTCTGATTGATTTTCCGGTGCTTCTCACTTGCAGTAACCGTGACACGCCCCAGGGGTATTCCGTGACCTACTCTTGGGCGTCTCATCCTTGTAATGGTGAGTGCAATTTTTCTTGATGACCCTCTGTAGCGCCATGACAGTCGGTTTTTCAAGACCTCCAACGCGAGGAAAGAAGAGGTGGTGGTGTTCCCGCGGGGGAGAACAAAAAAAATCCTCCTCCTCCTCCTCCCCCTGCCGCGCCCTCCCGTCCCCCCGCCCCTCTCCTGTGGACGAGGGGCGGTGGCGGCCCCCACGTGGTAGCGCCAGAGACCCCCCGAAGGATGGGGCTCCAGCTTTCTCCCGACCCTCGAGGGCCCTGCGATTCGCTTTGGGGGCCCGCGTGAAACTGCTCTCCCCAGACCATTGAGAGCCTACCTCTCTCCCTCATCCTCCACCTCCTCCTCCTCATTCTCCTCCTCCTTCTTCTCCTCCTCCTCCTCCTCCTAGCTCTTAGATCCTGGCAACTCCTTCTCTTCATACCGCCCTGTTTAGCGGGCGCATTGGCTGTGAACGCTTGAATTCCCACTTCGCCCGCCTACGCGCCGGACGCAGTATGGCTTCGTTTTCGTGCTCGTAGAGTTCTTTCCCGCCTCCTCCTCCTCCTCCTCCTCCCTTCTTTCCCATGTAGTGAATAACCCCTCCCTGTCGCACTCCGAGGCTGGTCGAGAGGGCGTGCCGGACGTTTTATCTGAGACTGCCTCACCCTTCCTCACCATTTGTGATCTTGAAGCTTAGGAGTTGCAGCAGCTTCACGGATGGAGGGCGGGTGGTTTTCAACATGCGTTTCTCGCTTAAGCGCCGCGCGGACCCGCTTTAAAGACATGCAAGTTTATCATGGTTGGAGGGCGGGTCGTTTCAAAATGTTGTTCTCGCCTCAGTGCCGCGCACATTCGTTGAAATAATGCAAGAAGTTCACGGATGGAGGGCGGTTATTTTCAACATGTGGCTCTCGCATTAGTGCCGCGTGTAGTCGTCTTTAAGAGTTTAAAGCAGTCTCATGCGCTCACGGTTAATGTCCTAGGCATGATGGTTTGGACGATGTCAGACTGTCAAGGCGCAGCCGTTACGTTGATTCGTGGTGTTGAAGCCCCAGGAATGAAGTACAGGAACGGTTCAGGATCGTCAAGACGCAACATTAACGTCGATTCGCGGCGTTGAAATCCCAGGATTGGTGTTCCGTTGTTTTCCAATTCAGCAGTTCCCATGAATCTTTGTGGGGGCCTATGAATAGGGAGTGTGGAGGCAGGGTCTATTCTCTATCGCAATACCGTTGTTGAGTCCTCCTCCTCCTTCTCTCCTCCAATTGCCGTGTTCAGCAGGCGCACTAGCTGTGAATGCTTGAATTCCAGCTTCTCCCGCCTACGCGCTGGACGGCTCGTGGCGTAGAATTTTGCCAGAAGCCCGCAGGGACCCCGAGAACCTCAAGATCCCAAAGGCCCCGCGGAGCCCTTCTCCGACCCCCACGGGGCCTCCCTGACCTCGGCATCGCTCGGACGTGTGCATTTTTCCTTCGGCGAGGACCATCGAGGAGCATCCTTGATCACTCGGCGAAAAAAAAACCACGCACGAAACCGAAAAAACACAGGGAATGGACGTCCGAGCGATGGCCAGGACCTCCCGGCGCCCCCCTCCCAGATTCGAGAATCCTCGGGGCCCCCCTCGATCAGAGTGGCGCTCGTGGCCCACCGGGCCGCCGAAGCCCTCCTGCCCCCCGCTCCTCCCCTGACTTGCCAGGAGGGCTACAACATAGCACCGGACCTAAAAACCTATCCCAAAGCTATTGTACGTCTTGGGCTTAGGATGTTCCGTTTCGTCTGGGTTTTTTGTTAGGCCTCCAGTGCTAAAAAATAGCCCTCCTAGAGCGCCATGGGCCTTTTCGAGAGTCCTCTGGGCCCCCTCGATCAGGGTGGCGCTCGTGGCCCAGCCCCCCCTCCCCTGACCTTCAGGAGGGCAACAAAAATAGCACCGGACCTAAAAACCAATCCCAAAGCTATTCTACGTCTTGGTTTTAGGATGTTCCGTTTCGTCTTTTGGGTTTTTTGGGGCTTCCAGTGGCAAAAACAGCTCTCTGGAAGGTCAGGGTCCC